GTGGAACTAAAGAATGGAGCTTACATGAAGAATGAAACGTTAATTTGAAACGGAGAGGAACAAAAAGTATTTTTTTTAAAATTAAATTATATAGAAAGGTTAAAAATACAAAATCCTACTTAAATATATTCTTCCAAAGAGAAATTATATTTAAAAATAAGATATATCTAAATACATTAAAATAAGTCATATTTAGATAATTTATATTGAAATTAAGTGAAATTATATTTAAAAAAAAATTATATTTAATATAAAATCAATAGGTTATATTAAAGAATAAAATATTTAGAAATAAAAATAAGATAAATAAATTATACATTTAGAAATAAAAAGGAAATAAAGAAAGAAAGAAAAAATTAACTTAAGATAAGTTAAAATCAAAAAGTTATATTTTAAATATATGAACTTTTACTTAAAAATACATAAAAATACAAAGTTATATTTAAAATGACCTAAAATATATATAGATAAAGAGATGAAAGTTATAAAAGAAAAAAAAAAGAGTTCTTGGAACAGGGGACAATTTATAAGATAAAATTAATATAGTGTAAAGATGGGAATATCGAAATTAAAATTACATTCGACATTTGTAGAGTTATAGCAATATAGTAGCTAATAAATTAAAATCTGTATTAGGGAAATTTGAATTTTCATAATATGGATGTTACTTTAGCTACTACAGTGTGACCCGGATATAAAAGAAACCCGGATATAAGAGAGATTTTCTCTGGTCCCAAATTAGAGCCTGTGTTAATGTATATAAAATAGACCAGACCCGGATATAAGAGAAACCCGGCTATAAGAGACTTCTCCGGTCCCGACAACTCTCTTATATCCGGGTTACACTGTATCAGATATGGAAATTCACAGACAATAAAGAAAGTAAATCTGGATGGGAATCCTGATCGATTATGGCTTGAAGAGAAACGTCTTTAAAATGTGAATTAATATTATTTAAAAAAGAAAAAAAAATATTTTAAAATTCTAGAAACTTATTGAAGTAAATCTAACATTAATTTTATTTTTCTCAGAATTTTTTAGTTGAAAAATAATGTTTGCTAGCAATACCTGTAATTTCTCAGTTTTTCTATTTTAATTTTTTATTCTTAAGTTAATAATTGAATAAACTCCCTACAAGTTCTACGACTATAAAATACCCGTGAAAATTCCTCAATTGAATCGTTCAGTATTTGAACCTAATATCTTTCACAAACTGTTATAAAAAAAAAAACAATAAGTATGAACGCAGGTCAATACTTAAAGAAGTAAGACGGTACAAATTAAAAGATTTTAAATTGACACACTTTTCTATTTAACTGAAGTAACTTTAAACACATTAGAGCCTCCTCTATTTTTTTCCTCACTGAAATCAAATCGCGTCTCTGATATGTCTTTTCCGTGTTTCCTCTTGGCCAAAAAGGAATAATCCGTTATTTGTGATGTATTGCCAGGAGAGAGGGGGAATGAGAAGGGGAGAAAGAGAGAGGGGAATGGACAGAGAGAAATGGGAGAGAGGGAAGGAGATGGAACGAGAGAGAGAGAGAGAGAGAGAGAGAGAAGGAAGGGAGAGAGGGGGAAATGAGAGACGGGAATGAGAGAGAGAGAGAGAGAGAGAGGGAGGAGAAGGGAGAGAGGGGGAATGAGAGAGAATGAGAGAGAGAGAGAGAGAAGGAACGAGAGAGGGGGAATGAGAGAGGGGACCAGAGAGAGAGAACGAGAGAGAGAGAGAGAGAAGGGAACGAGAGGGGGGAATGAGAGAGGGGAATGAGAGAGAGAACGAGAGAGAGAGAGAGAAGGGAACGAGAGAGGGGAATGAGAGGGGGAGAGAGAGAACGAGAGAGAGAGAGAGAGAAGGAACGAGAGAGGGGAATGAGAGGGGAATGAGAGAGAGAGAGAGAGAGAGAAGGGAACGAGAGAGGGGAATGAGAGAGGGGATGAGAGAGAACGAGAGAGAGAGAGAGAGAGAAGGGAACGAGAGAGGGGGAATGAGAGAGGGGAATGAGAGAGAGAACGAGAGAGAGAGAGAGAGAGAAGGGAACGAGAGAGGGGGAATGAGAGAGGGGAATGAGAGAGAGAACTAGAGAGAGAGAGAGAGAAACGAGAGAGGGGGGAATGAGAGAGGGGAATGAGAGAGAGAACGAGAGAGAGAGAGAGAGGGAACGAGAGAGGGGAATGAGAGAGGGGAATGAGAGAGAGGAGAGAGAGAGAGAGAAGGGAGAGAGAGAGGGGAATGAGAGAGGGGAATGAGAGAGAACGAGAGAGAGAGAGAGAAGGGAGAGAGAGGGGAATGAGAGAGGGAATGAGAGAGAGAAGAGAGAGAGAGAGAGAGAATGAGAGGGGAATGAGAGAGTGAGGGAGAATAAGAAAGGTAATGAGAGGGAATAAGATAGAGAATGCGAAAGAGAGAGAGATAGAGGGGGGGGAGGAGAAGAACAGAGAGAGAAAAGGAGAGAGAGATACGTTCTCATTTCGCAAATGCAAATTTGATTTTGAATCAGGCGAATGTCTCTCACAGCTGATAGCAAATGTGTCGAATTTTCCAAGCAACAAAAAATATAACCAGTAAAAAAAAAAAAAAAAAAAAATCCCTCAAAAAAAAAACATTAAATAAAAAATTAGTAATTTTTTTTAATAATCCAAAAAGAAGAAAGATGAGAAATGATAATTCGATTTCGAAAAGTTTAATTCTATATTTAAAAAAATAAAAATGAAAAAAATGAATAAATGCAAAATCACATCTTCAAGCCTATCTTGTCTTTTTCTCAAAAGTATTTTTAGCCCGTTGCGTTTCGCAGATTTCTTCCTTTGTCAAAAGAAAAAAAAAACAGGCAGACGGAGCGAACGACAGACAGACAGACAGACAGACAAAGCCTCATTATAAATATGGCTCTGCGTGTACACCGCCTAGAATCATTAAGTTATCTTTAAAACGCGAAACTCGCATGCATATAAAATCATTAATTGAACTATTAAGACTCTACTTCGGGAAGACCGTCTTTTTTCTTTTTATGTGCCATGTTCTTTCAGGACGTAGGCGATCACGGTTCTCCACCTCCTCCTATCCCTTGCAGCTCCCAGCTAGTTCCTTCCCTCTGCCACCTCCCACAGACCACGTTCTGTCATCCACTTGATTAAGTCCGCCAGGTATGTCACGCGTTGTTTTCCCTTGTCTCTCTTTCCCGCTATTCGACCCGTGAGTATCAGATTCTCCAGGTCCTCCTTCCTCATTATGTGCCCCAGTAACTTCAGCTGCCTCTTCCTGATATTAAGCATAAGCCTCCTCCTTGTTTGCAACCTCTCTAAGATCTCATCATTGCTCAGACGCTCAGTCCATGATATCCTTAGCATCCTTCTGTAGAACCACATCTCTGTCGCCTCGAGTTGCTTCTTCATCGTTGAGGAAATCGTCCAGCATTCGCTGACGTAAAGAAGAACAGATTTCACGTAACAACTCAGTATTATTGTCTTTGTTACCAAAGAAATACTCCTGCCTCGCAATACCCTGCCCAGCTTTTGGAATGCGTCTTTGGTCATCCCAATACGTCTACGGATCTCAGTGTCACACTTACCGTCCTCTGTCAAGATGCTTCCCAGATATTTAAATTTCCGCGTCTGATTCTAGTGTTTCCGACCTGCAGATCGCATTCCGGGCTCTTCCTCATACTGATGACCGTTTTGTGGGGGCATTTTACTAATCCTTCGGACGCAATTTATGCAAGGATTGGCTGGTAACATTCGTCGTCGACACCCGCTGGCATCCGAGAATTGGGGTCGTCTTTCTCTCTCCCTGTTCCTCCACACCTCCAGTGGCGTTGGCGGAAATGGATGCGAAGGCCCAGCCGACACCTAAAGTGTCGTGAGCAGGACTCACTGAGGAGTGTGGATGACGCACACAGTTGGGCGAATCGGGGCCTCCTTAAAGCACTTCGCAGATCCTCTTCATGTCGACGGTTGTTACTCGAAAGTCTCTCAACACCCCGACCACTGGATGATCTTACGTCAGGAAAGTCGTAACATTAAAAACTACAAGACTAAACTAGTGATGTTCTATTTTCACTGAGGTGAGTATGAATTTACGCTAATCACGCTGAATGGGTGTTCTTTTAAGGAGAGTGAAAACCTCGAATGCCTATTGCGACTCAAGCTCCCCACCTCAAATGGAACTCATACATAGGTCCCATTTATATATATATATATATATATATATATGACAATATATATATAAAAACGTGAAAAGTTATATATATATATATATAAGACAAAGTAAAATATATATATAAAGCTGTTTCCACATTGTCATATATGTATATATATATATATATATATATATATATACACACACACACACACACACATACACACACACACTCACATAATGTAACAGTAAGAGATAGATCAAGTATCGACCATCATAAAGACTGAAAAATAAAATTGACAAAGATTATTGTTTAAGGTTGACGGACACGCATGTCTTAATTAGTTTTTTTTTGTTTTTTTTTTTACGAATTGGTCAAAACCAAACTCAAACAAAAACATTGTTTTCAATCGTTATGAGTCTACCGATTGAATAGAATTTTATTATAAACAATTGTCTTGTAAATGGAATTTTTTGAGTATTCTGAATGTAAAAATAAATAAAAAAGTGTGCAAGACAATAAGAAACACTACCTGCCAAAATAAATGAAGTTTTGTTGAAATCGGTTGAAAAATGTAGGAAATCCGATCCAATATATAAACGTACAGACACACACACACACAACCTGGGTTTTATGATAAGTATGATATATAAAGCTGTTTCCACTTATCATATATTGTCATATATATATATACACACACACACACAGACACACACAGATATATATATATATGACAACGTGAAAAAGTTACATATATATACATATATATATAAAGCTGTATATACGCACACACACACACACATATATATATATATATATATATATATATATATATATATATATATATATATATATATATATGTGTTAAGTTGATAAGAAGAGAAACAAAAATAATGAAATGAGAATGAATACCAGTAAAAGAAAGAGAGACAACGGGAAAGAGAGAAAAATGTGGTAGAGAGAGAGAGAGAGAGAGAGAGAGAGAGAGAGAGAGAGAGAGAGAGAGAGAACAAGAACGAAAGAATGATAATAAGTGAGAAAGAGATGAAGAAGTACAATAAATAGAAACAGAGAGAGAGAGGAACAGGTGAGAGGAAAAATTCCAAAGAGGGAGGCTTCTGTGAGATGAATGAAAGTAATAACGAACGTAAAAGCGTAAGAGTGTAAGAGCGAGAGAAAGAAAAAGAGTGCAGAAGTGTCTAAGAGAAGAAAAGAAGAATTCTCTCTCTCGATATATATATATATATATATATATATAAAAAGAAAGGACAGTAAGATATATAATCCAGTGTTCTTATAGATATTTTTATTTTTACAAAATAGTGCTCAATCTAAATTTACAGAGCATTAATATTATAAATTAATTGATTTAAAATATGTTTTTCCGCTACACAGTTCTAACCATGTTTCAAAAATGGAAGCTAAAAGACCCGAATTTAATTTTGTACGCTTTTAACGGATGTTAGATTTCATTGAAAAATACATCCCTACCCACTACCAAAACGTAGCAATAACTGATACATTAAAATATAGACATAATGAACACCCAGACACCCCTCGTCTAGTGAAGTGGATTCATCTGTAACCTTGGAAACATGAATTATGATTTTAGCTGTGTCTTTAAAACCCAGTAATTTTAAAAGTTACTCCAAAATTCGCTTGAGGAGGAAATAGAACTAATGTCTTTAATTTAATTACAAAATTAAATTCGGGGCTTTTAGCTTCCATTTTTGAAACATGGTTAGAACTGTGTAGCGGAAAAAAACATATTTTAAATCAATTAATATATATATATATATATATATATATATATATATATATATATATATATATATATTCAGGTACTGAATATGGATTGAGCGTTACGTAATTTGAATTTAATATATCTGGTTATTTTAATATTGGTGCAGTTATATATTAAACTGGGATTACACTTTTTTTTTCTTTTTAAAACATAATATATACCTGCACCAACATTGCGAAAATCAGACATATTTCTTAAAATTAAAATTACATAAAGGTCCTTCCATACTCAACACCTGAAGATTGCATTGTGTATGAAACTCTAAGTCGTGCTAACGATGAGGAATAATACGTATAAAGGTATCCCTCAATTAATGTACACTAGTTTATGTGCCAAAATTCGATTAGTGCATACATATTACTCGATTAGTGCGGTAAAACGTTCTTTAGTTTAACCCTGGTAATTGAAAATCGATTTTTTTTTATAGTTACCGATGTAAACATTAACCTCAATAGTGGAGAAATTCCTGTATTTATAAATCTATACTACATCGAGCACAGCACTGTTTTATTAACACCAGCACTATATGTGTGATATATATATATATATATATATATATATATATATATATATATATATATATATATATATATATATATATATATATATATATATATATATATATATATATATATATATATATATATATATATATATATATATATATATATATATATATATATATATATATATATATATATATATATATATAGCGATATAAAATATATTTTATACTGAAAGTGCTTATAATTTATTTAATTTCACAAGAAATAGATATGAGAGAAAGCGTTTAGCATGAAGTTTTATTTAAAATTCAATATGGTCACCAGGTTTCGCTACCTGCTTCTCGGGTCGCCCATAAATCGTGTCATCTGATTTCATCTGGAACTCTTGTTGTATGGAAGACAGGACTGCTTGTAGTCGCCTTTCAAGTTTTTCCAAAGTCTTGCTTTGGCATATTAGACTTACCCCTTTAACCAACCCCAAATAAAAAAAGACATAGCTTCTTAAATCAGGACCCCTCTCTGGCCACTCATAAAATAAAATAGGGAGTTACTTTTCATTCACTCTGTATTTGTTCACAAATTTCTCCATCCCCAGCCTCTCTCGGGCTTACAACCATATCATCTTGAAGCACCTATTCTCGTACGGCCATCGAAGTTAAGCAACGTCGAGCCTGGTCAATACCTAGATGGGTGATCGTTTGGAGATAACAAGTACTGTAATCTTGGATGTGCGGGTGGTGTAATGGATAATGGCTCGGAATTGTTAATCAGAGAGCCGAGTTCTTATAGTCTTGGGTATGCAATAAACTACAATAGGCTTCAAGGCCTCTGATTGGGAGATAGGAGTTTTTCAAAAGCACAGAACCACCTCTTAACTGCTGATGTTTCCAGGTTCACCTTGACCGGGGGTAGTAGCACCTGTTAGGGTCCCAGATATTGGCAAACACTAAACAAAAATAAAACTATGAAAGTATAAAAAATACATTTTTATATAGAAATATACCAACTATACATATTTATATTAAAATTACCAACAGTATCAATTTATAATAAAATTGTCAAAAATATTTATTCATAGTAAAATTACCAACAATACCTATTTAAAATTAAATTACTAACAATACAATTTTATGGTATATATTTAGTTGAAGCCATAAAATTATATTCAAAATCCGGCATTAAATAACCCATAGAGGTGTTGATATGCCGCTAAACAAAATCAACCAATAAATAATACTTATTTATAGTAAAATGACCAACAATACATTTTATTTGCGTTCAAAATATATTTAGTTGAAGCCATAAAATTTTGTTCAAAATATTTTGGTTTCGACATTAAATAACCCATAGAGGTGTTGATATACCGCTAACCAAAAACAACCGACAAAACGTTTTCCAATTCCATTTACTTTTGTTATATTCATTTATGCACAAATACACTTGGGAAAGGCATGAATCCACCTTTTCTTCCCCACGGAGCTAAGACTTATATCCCTAAACTATTATTATCTCAAGAAAAAAAAAAATTCTTACACTCTAAAAATATTTTCTGCCTGAAAAGGGTTGATAAGCCGTAGAAAACGATCAATCAGTCAATCTGTGTGTGTCTCTTTTTCTTCGCCATAACAGACCATGTGAATATACGCCGTACATCCAGAATAAATATACGCATACTTTAAAATACCCACCCAATTTAATATCGATTTCTTTTGTCTACATATGATTACACACACACACACACATACGTAATCTTTGCCTCCCCGGAACGCACACTAGCCTCATTCTATCGCGGGCAAAATCACAATAGCCGTAATTATAACAAAATGTCTGCAATTAAAAACAAAATAAGAATGGAAAACGAAAAAATAACATCGATTCAACAAAAGAATTTTGCGTATAAAACTGAAATAGTAAATAAAACGAAATAGTTCATTAAATTAAGAGTTACATGACCTCTGTGGATCTAATTAAAGAACGTTAATTAGATTTTATGATACATCGTCAAATATATGAGACATATTTGATTAAATGAGCGGCCCGGTGTTATTGGGCTAGTTTTGAAAGCCGCTCGGTTGCTAAATTTAGAATTTTGCCACTTTCAACTTTTGGAGCCCCCCCCCCTCTCTCTTTCTTTCTTTCTCTCTGCACCTCGATGCGGCGTAATGGTTAGCAGCTTATCTCGCTAGAACAATCACGACTGAGTAGTGAGTTTGATTCTTAAGAGGTGATCCAAACTTTCGGCCTTGTGCCACATCTAAGCTATGCTTAGAAAATCACTTTTCGGCACCTTGGCGTAGTCTAATGGTTAGCAAGCTTGTCTTGCTAAAACACTTAGGACTGAATAGCGAGTTCGATTCTCACTGGGTGCTCAACACTCTCGGCCACAATTTTGTAATTTTACAAAATAAATAACTCCTCTCTCTCTTTCTTTCTCAATGTCGCTCTCTTTCTCTTTCTTTTTTTTCAATTTAATTTAATTTAATTTAAAAAGCTTGGCTAAAATAGAGTAGCCAGGGGAGGGGAGTAATAGATAGCGATTTGGATTAAGGAAAACCAGAGAGCTGAGTTCTAATTCCAGTCGAGTTCATTGCATTCTCTTGCATGCTTATATAAAGGCATGAATCCAAATCTTTCCCACAGCTATGGGTAAATAAACTGGACTCTATAGCTTTGGATGGCAACCAGTCTAGGAGAAGGAAAACCCTGAATTCAAACCGCCTTGTAGGTTTGAACTACAACTTTAACTTCTGAGAGAAGGCATGGGGTAAAATTAATATCCCCGATACAAAAGGAAGCCATTGCACTATTTTGCCTTGATTCTCACCACAACTGTGGGATGGAGGAGATGAAGAAGTACAATAAACAGAAAGAGAGAGGACGAAATTAGAAAGAGGGAGGCTTGTGTGAGGCAAATGGAGGAATAAGGAAAGTGTAAGAGTTAAGAGAAAGACTGTAGAAGTGTCTAAAGAGGAATTATATATATATATATATATATATATATATATATATATATATATATATATATATATATAAAGCTCAAACACAAATATTCCATGGTTATATTTTATTACATTGGAATCATAATCACGGTCCAATTCATAGGTCTGATGAATAGGATTGTGATTACGATCCCAATGTAATAAATTATAACCATGGAATATTAGTGTTTGAACCTTTTATATTATATTATTACTCTGTCCTGGACATTGAGTTCTACCTGGATTCTATCTCTTGGAAATTCATTCATATATATATATATATATATATATATATATATATATATATATATATATATATATATATAAGTATAGGATTGGTGTATACGGAATAAATTCCAATAAGCAACAATTACTGTTCTTAAAAGAGTACTCAATACAGAGTAGAGCAAAAATAATTATTTATTTAAAAATTATAACATAAGTATGTTATAAAATCACTACAATAATAGCGATTTTGTTTCAACACCTCTGGTGTCATATCAAGTGATGATGTTGATTCAACATCATCACTTGATAAGACACCGGATGAGTTGAAACAAAATGGCTATTTTTGTAGTGATTTTATAACATACTTATGTTATAATTTTAAATAAATAATTACATATATATATATATATATATGAGTTAAAGATATATAAATTTTTATATATCAAGAACAATATTGGGGAAGACATGCAAATTTGTTGCAAATTGAGTCCGATGAGATCCTGAAGGATGAAACGCGTCACACGAAAACCTTTTCCATTTTGTCATATATATATATATATATATATATATATACATATATATATATATAGGGAGAGAGAGAGAGAGAGAAGAGAGAGAGAGTGAGGAGAGAGAGAGAGAGAGAGACAAATAGAATGAAATGAGAATGGATACCAGTAAAAGAAAAGAGATAATAGGTAAGAGAGAGAAATGAGGTAGAGACAGAGAGAGAGAGAGAGAGAGAGAGAGAGAGAGAGAGAGAGAGAGAACAAGAGAGCTGTACGAAAGAATGATAATAAGTGAGAAAGTGATGAAGAAGTACAATAAATAGAAATCGAGAGAGAACAACAAATGAGAGGAAGAAATTACAAAGAGGGAGGCTTGTGTGAGGGAAATGGAGGGAATAAGGAAAGTGTAAGGGTTAAGAGCTAGAGACAGAGTGCAGAAGTGTTTAAGAGAAGAAAAGAGAAATAATATATATATATATACACTCAGTGTCATTGAAAAGTACTTTTAAAATACTTATGATTTATTCATTAAGTATAATTTTTAGAAGATATATATATATGAGTGGAAAGCGTTTAGCATGAGGTTTTATTTAGAATTCGTTATGGACCACCAGCTTCTCGATCTGCCCAGGAGTCGGGTCAACTGATTCCCCCAGGAACTCTTGTGGCATGGAATAAATGACATCTTGTATTCACCTTTCAAGTTCTTCCAAAGTTTTGGTCCTTTAACCAGCCCCAAAGAAAAAAAAAGTCTGAGGTTGTTAAGTCAAGATTCCTGACTAGCCATTCATGCATAAAATAAGGTGTTACTTTTCAGTCGCCCTGCGTATAACATATATGGATTAGATGTTCCGTAGCTGCTTATTACTTTCGAAAATCATCACATTTTCAGCGTCAGGCGTTACATTTCAGTTAATGTTCTCATTTGAAATATTTAAAATACAAATCAAGCGTTGCGACACTCCACTTAAAAAAATCATCTTTTGGCCTGCAATATATTTATTTTCGTCTTGGAAGTTACCTGAAATGAAAAAAATTATTAATGCCTGATGAGGAAAATATGATGATTTTCGAAAGGACTAGCATCGACGGAACATCTAATCCATCTTATAATTTGAAACATAAGGATCGCGTCATTCAACGAGTGGTTAGGGAGTTAATCCTCTATTAAATCTGTTAGCGAAGTGATTTCGTCGTTAATTACAATAAGTTTACTAATTAATTCTTTGTATGTTTACTTCTTATATATATATATATATATATATATATATATATATATATAATAAAAAAAACAAATGAAGACTACAGACAAAAGTTCATTTTTTCCATCAAGACATTCATTTCTGTAGTTCACTGCTATATATATATATATAAATATATATATATATATATCTTATCCTTCACCAGTAACACGATTCGGATTTTCATGCACAATGCAATCTTCAGGTGCTCGTTATAGACTGACCGTTACATAATTTAAATTTTAATAAAAATATCTGGTTAACGCAATGCTGACGCACTCTATATATTTTATATTATATATTATCTATTATGTATTATATATTTTATATTCATGCATAAAATAGGGTGTTAATTTTCAATCATATATATATATATATATATATATATATATATATATATATATATATATATAAATAGTCACACCTTAGAGGCGACAGTCTGTTTCATGCTATATGCAAGCGTCAGGCCACATAGCATGAAACAGACTGTCGCCTCTAAGTGTTGACTTTATGTTCACTTTTATATTTACACACGCTCTATCTCTGATATTGAACACATAAATATAGCACATCTTAAGACTATATTTCTTCATATATATATATATATATATATATATATATATATATCAAAATTATGTTATGTAACGGTCAGTCTTAATTCAGCACCTGAAGATTTCGTTGAGCATGAAACTCAGAGTCATGCTACGTCTAAGGGAGTGGTAACCACAGCAGCATAAAATCTGATAAATGAATGATGGAAGAAAGTTCATGATTTAGTAGCGCTGTGTTCTACTGTGTGCCATCTTTGGATTCTCGTGGTTCTCTCGGCAGTTCTTCAGTAGGGACCCCAACGCTGCAGCACAGCCTGAATGAACGAGAGTTTCGGATTTTTTTTTTTTGCTTTGTTTTTATTCGCTTTATATCAGATATGCATATAGTCGTAAGCAACATTTTCTGAAAGAATCGAGCGGGTGAAGGAGCGAGAGAGAACGTGTAAAACGGTCGTTCAGCGACTTAACATCTTTCCGGCCTGGCCTGTTTGACTCCGTTGCAGCCATGGCGCCCAAACGTATCTTAAAGCGGAAGGAATCTTCAGCCGTC